AACAGAAGAGGAACATCGACACGCGAGAAGAAACATCAATTTCCACGCACGCCACTAAAATCGCCTTATAATAACACGGAAGGAATTTTCCCTCCTTGGAACGCGTTATTCATCACGCCAATGTAATGACACGAGAGATCTCTTCCTCCACGTTGGAAGTTACTGCGCGAAGGATAAAAGAGACAGTGCCATCGACGTACACGGAGATTATAATAGTCATTAGGCTGTTTCGGACGTACGAAAAAGACGGCGGGCAGAGGTGAAGCAAAAGAATAGGAGGAACGGAGAGAAGAGGGAAGGAGGACAATCTTTCCGAATGGACCATGGTTTTTTGTGCCTCTCGGAGGTTTACAGCGTCGTTGGGGCACTTGTTATGGCGGTGGATGCACGTGTTCTAATGGATACGCCGGACTCGGCCGAAAAAAATGTGCCTTTTCTAGGCTTAGGTTAACGCGGGAGGGGGTGAGGGATATCTAGGAGTCTCGACACTCCGTAGGATAGACGAGATAGATGATGAGCTCGAAGCACGCAGGGCCGCACACGACCGTCGATCCGGAAGAAACTCATTTGTAGAACTGGAGATTTAAAAACGCGGCAGATTTATCACGCAATTCTTCCTCGGAAGAATCGACACAGTGCGACGAAATGATTAAATGCCTTGGTCGAAGATATCATGTAGTTATTATCGCGCAGCTCTAGTCTTCTTAGCACAACGTTGTTTCTACAGATTTATATAAATACATATCATTTTTAATTTGCAATTCTAATGAATATATTCATGTCATTTAATTTATACGTTTATGATGAGCGACAATAATGGAAGCATCGCGATAAACGCGCCAAACAAATCGTACTTCGCGCGTCGTACCTCATTTGGACGATTACGTCATGTCACAATAGAGTCTGTAGAAAAAAACAAGACTGCAGCCCTGCAAGGGCAACGCTATCTGACGCAGAAATCTCCGAGAGGCCCGCGCGTTGTCGGGCCCCCCGATTCTCTTCTCGCACTCTATCACGTATGCCCCCGACCCTCTCTTTTTCTTCTTTCGCTCCTCTGACTCACCCTTGCACGTGTTCAATTTCAGCCCCTTTGAAAGCTCGTTCCTTATCCCGCGCTGGTCAGAATCCTAGAGAATCCTCTCTCTACTGGACTCGAATGAGGTCCTTTTCTCGGCCAACCGCTCCGCCCACAGGACCCTTTTCGCCCAAGAAAAGGATCGGGCCCCGGCCAAAGAGACCCGTCAAACTGCTCCTCCACGTGCACGTAAAAACGAATCGGGCACAAAGACGGGGAGGCCGTCGGCGATGGCCGTCTCTCGCCTCGTCCCCGCGAAAAGTCATTGTCGCAGCCGATGAGAGGACGGCCGTTCTCTAATTATCTGTATCTATTATCGCACACCAGCGATTCGGATGGCGTTCAACGCTGTCGAAGATTCGAATCTTTTCGTAATCCTCGTCTTCCTCGCACACGCGCCTGCCGCATGATCTTACTGCCTCTCTCGTGGCAATTTTCTACGCTTCGCGAATCCTCTGGATATGCAAGCGCGCGAACGCGATATCGCGGAATCTGCATCCGGCAAATAAGACGACGAATGAAACGTCTTCGACGAGATCGAACAAGGACGGACCGAATAGACAGGATACCACGATGACACGGTTCACGCTAATCCCGTGATAGAAATCCTTAAGCTGCTACCGGTCATTCGACGGCGTAGGAGAGGAAGCAAGGCGCAGCAAGGGGAAGAACGGGAAATGTATATAATTTATAACGATAATCCTTTAAGAATGGATCCGTGCTCCGAAGGCAGATTCACGCTCCTGCGACCTTCAATGCGACTCTCCCCGCTTTTTCCCGCCACCCCCATCTTTCGAAACCCTGCCTCCTGTTCCCGTCTAGTTTTTTCTCTTCACACCAGCCGAGTGAATCCCGGATCGATGGAGCGTGCGGCAGTTTCGTCGGGGTCTTGTGTTTACATAGGTGCAGGGACTCGCAAAGAGCGGCTGTTTATTTAGGGGCATAATGGCGACTCGCAAATGAAAACGGATCTTTTCGAGCCGCATTTCACGAGACGCGAGAAACTCTCGGGATGAAAGACGAAGAGCGAATATTACCGGCCAAGGAATATCGTTGCGCACTCTTCCAAATGGGTTTGTCGAAACTCTCCAGCTTGGTGTGCTGAGCGGTGTTTGATATTAGGATTGCCGTGTTGATCAAACGAGTTCATCACGTGCATCCACGTTCTTGCTCCGATTTTACGGTACCGAAAAGATGACGGCAAGGGGTAATTGTGAGGTTGCAGCTCTTGGCAAACTTATGATGGAAAAAATCTAGACTCACGTTACTAGACTCTGGTTGCACGGCATTACACGTTACGATAGAAGCAACGAATGACAATTTCGAGGGAGTCCCGAGAGAAATCTCCGCGTCGGGGATATACTATAATCATTCGCAATGAATCCTTTTCCTTTCCATCCAGTGCATCCAGGATGACGAAATTCGCCATTGAAAAGTGCGTGTCTGAGCATCGCGCGGCAGAGTTAGAACGCGTTCTTTCAAAGCCTTTTTTAGATCCACCCCCAAGAATGCATCTACACACATAGCTCAGGCGAGACTCGCTTTAGAAACGTTGCGAGGCAGGTCCTCGCATCCGGCAAGATCCTTTGATTCTCTTTTGCGGACGAGACCCAAATACTGATCTGTACGTGCAAGTTCGAGCACCTTGTGCATGCTCTTGGCACGTGAAGAAACTCGGTCAAAGAAACTCGGAATGCCCATCCCGTATAGATTCGAAACTGCGCATCGATCCGAAGAGTCTGCGAGCGTTTCGAGTTTACGCGTAATGCGTTACACAAAAGGAAGTCTTTCCCGGGGCCGAATGGCGAGACATGTTCGAACCTGTCTGGAGTTGCGAGCAGCTGCTCGAGGAAGTATCTTCGAATCTCGACGCCGGCGAATCATGTTTCATATTTGATAAGAGCGCATTTTTCTTTCGGGCGAAAAAAGGGTGTTCAATCCAAATAAAAAAGATAAATAAAATTGATAAAAAATAAAATTTTTGAGGGCGTGAATTTACGTTTTTAAGATGTACACTGTAACAAAAATTTTAGACAAATTTTAAAAAAATTGTTAGAAAAATTTTCTGACTCATGGGTATTTTTGTGAGAATAAGTATATTTAGTACGTATAAGTGCATTTAGTTTGAAACGATAAAGCGCTATGTGCGTATTTGGACAAATATTACAGAATTTGTTTTCCAATATTTTACCAACTACCGCTAATAACACGCACAATCGAGAGAGTGAGAAAGAACAGTCAAGACAAATTATAAAGTAACAAAGGCGAATCAGGTCGGACTAAATTGGGCAGTGCTAAATTGTCGTGTTCTATCGCACCGTTAATCGAGCCCGATCCTTCGGTCCGCTAACCCAGAATCCCAACCCTTTTACCTGCGACACATGCACCGGCAAGGTTAGCGGAAACCTGCGAACAATGCGAGAAAGAGTTTCTGCCCTGACGGGATGCACCTGTGAAAGGGTTGAACCGCGGATCAACCGATCAAAGATCTTCAGACCAAAGTACGGAATATTATTAGCAGCAAGTGCATCGAAACAAAAGATGGCGGAGCGATTCTTACTTTTTCCCCTGCGTTTTTTTCCCAATGAGTCCACAAAGTACCCATAGTTCCGCTAATTTCAACAACACACCTGGTGCTTGGTGAAAATGTGGAAAAAGGGCTGCGCGAAGGGGCAGCTGTGAAAAGTACGTTGCACCGCACACCCCCGCCCGCATCGTGCAGGTTTTTTTTCCGGTGAGAATCGGGAGAATGACGAGAGAGAATCAACCCTTGAATCGTCTTAGATTCTCTCTTTCATTTCCGCTCCTTCGATTCGCCGTCGGCCACGCGATCGAAGCGTCGCTTCTACGATTGCGTGCTGCGCATGCATGCAGGCCAGGTCGCGGCCCTTTGTGCGCGCGTTTGACCCTTTTTACCTGGATCACTCTAGTCGGTTCTCGACCCTTGCAGCGCGGCGCGGAAGGGCGGCCCTGCACCGCGCGACGAGAATGGAAAGCGATCAGCGACGGCGAACAAACACGACCGGTGCTTACCTCGTACGGTGGCCCATTCAACGAAGCGAGATATGCATCTACGGTCCTCCAATGGACCCCCGAAAATAACGAAATACTGGCGGAGATTTTCGTGATTTTGAATAATATTGCATTCACCCCCGTCGCCTTTCTCCCTCTTTAACCCCTGCGCAGTATCCCTACGCCTGGACTTGATTTCAAAGGGATCGAAATGGTCTCCCCTTTTCTCTCTTACTCTTTCTCTCGCATCGTGGCATTATGGCCGGCCCTTTTTATTCCGCCTACGGAAATTCCCTGGACCGGTTCGGAGGACAAAGGGTTCCGCGTAGTTTTCTGACGGATGGACGAGCGAACCGAAGCGCATAAAGGATTTATTCGCGAATCCTCGACGACGGATCGCCCGATCATGAAGAGGCGCTGATATATTCACCGGTGATCTTCGATACAGTGCGCGGATCTCGGTGTCGATGATGCAAGAGTGAATAACGTCGACGTAACACCGACGCATCTCTTCGCATCGTTGATTTCGTAACGACCGTCCATTCGGGGAAATCGTCGCGTAATCTCATAAATACGAACGCGAGAGGATTGGCAAAATGGATTCATTTACATATAACTGTTCGACATTCCATGAAAATTTCGCAAGTTGTGATTTTATCATCCCGTCTAAATCGGTCGTTTAAACATACACTATGCTATCCTGACTCACGCTTAAGTTTTTCACGATTTTTGTTTGATTGTTGCGTAAATGAAACGGTTTACAAAATTTAATTATTGTTCTCATTGACAAGAACAAGTCAAGATTCTTCTTGAGATGTGCGCGTTTGGCAATGCAAAACGAGCGACATTAATTTTAAAGCAGCGTTCAGCATAAAAACTTCATGCAAAAAATGACGTATATATACAAACTCACCGATACCGATGTGCTTGTCGTTCCGCTCCAGTTGTCGTGGCCGCGAGTTCTCTCTGCTGCTTCACCTGCGGCAGAAATGAGCGAAACCTCAGTTGACGAAATAACAGTGTATTTGATCGCGTGGACGATAGAAACACGCCAGGAACATTGATCGGACGCAAAAAGAAGATGCAAGAGCGGTGAATTGAAATCGCACTTCAGCTTGAATGCTCGGTTGTTAAAGGCTTCGACCAGGACGCACCAAGCTTTACGAATTATATCGGCAAGTGCTACAAAAAAGTTTGGCAAAAAATGCAGCGCACGGTGCCGCCCTAATAACTGAAATTCGTATCGAGCCGCGGGCGACACCGGCAAGAAAAAAGTATTTAACAAGCACCGCAAAAATGGTCGCGTATAGGACCCATTTTCGTGGAATAACTTCGACGGTCGGATCTCTTGCTTTCGAGATAATACGAATTTGCGCAACCGAAACTATCGAGCAAAATGAGAAACTTGCGTCGCGAACGCCACGTTGTTCAATTAAAAAAGGAACAGTCGCTTAATTAATGCCGATATAAAGCGTGCTTAATAAAACGGAGAGATAAAATTCCAATGAAAACGATCTCTATCTGGGAACGGCGTCTGCCTACCGAAAACGATTACCACCCCGTAAAAGCGAGAAACAAAAAACAGATACGGTAGTCGCTGGACCACTTTTCGCTCCGGGCACAGACGAGAGAGCTTCTCTTTTTTAGTACCGTCCTCTCTCGACGCACCCTCCTCGTCCGTCATCCTCCTCCCTTTCTTCACGTCGGTCAACAGCTGAAGATAATCGGCTCGGCGAGGACAATTTCCCTTCGGAGGAAACGCGCGACGGGTGGACAACGCGCGAAATGCAGAAACCTGCGTGGTTGTTTAATAGTCGATCGAACAAGTGCAGGGTCGCTATCTTCAGATTTCAAGATCGATGTCGAGCTCTGCTGTTCTCGTACCCGCACCCGCGGGTACGGTTACCTTCTACTCGAGACGAAGCGAGAAGCAACGATACGGCATGACGGCTCGTTCAGATTTCGTCGTTCCACTTGCGAGCGATGCCAAAGAACCATTAAATCCGTGGAACGCGCCTCCTTCGTAGGTATATTTCATTAATACCGCTCGTAAGACGTTCCATCGATAGAACCGTCGCCCCGTTATTGCCTTTCGATGAGAAAAGCGTCATCGTTAAGATGATGTCGATTAGAATCGAGTTTCCGATGATAAAGCGTTTCCCTGGCTTTTCCACGTAATTTGTTTCGTGACTATGAGGTAGAACGAAACTGTTGATCATGTTACATTGAAACTTAAAAGATTTCAGCGGGTTGAATTAATGGTTTTATCGTCGAAATATTTAGAATGAAAATATTAGTAAGCTAAATACAACAACAACAATGAACAGATTTTCACATTTTCAGGGGAGAAGCCGACTTGAAATTTGTCCCGGACGCGTTACGAAACGCGGATCCTTTGTTTCGCCTGCTGCAATCAGCTCGCCAATTTATCCGCAGCCGACTCAATGAACCACAAAGGAAACCATTAATTAAAGCCCGCGAGAACGAGCGCGGCCGAGTAACGTACGTGTCAGAAATTTTCAACGAAACCAACCGGATTCACGGTGGGCACCGTGCACAGGCCGAGCTATCTCGATCTCGAAATCGGCACGATTACACGCGAGTGCGCGAGGAGGAAGTAGAAAAAGAAGCCGAGGAAGGCGGAAAGGGTGGGAGCGAGTGGAAGAGCGCGCGGCAAGACGAGGATGCACTTCAGCTTGCACCTGCCGGTGACGTCAGAAGGGACTTCTTGTTTGGGCCTGCTCAGCCCCGGGGGTCACTACTACTGTTTCAGGTTAGCCTGCCGCGCTTCTTCGCCTTCTCTTTTCTCTTCGACCCTCACACACCGGAGCCCTCCTCTCTCTTACCCTCTCGTCGTTTCGTCTACCCGCAGCATCGTCGAGCGCGGGTATGTATAGTCGACTCCTTCGTACATGAGCGAGTGAGTAAGGACACGGCACAAAGGACGCCGCGCGCCGCGGTCATTGCTCACGTATTAATTATATGCTAATGAAAATTCCACGTAAAATCGCGCTTTCTAAATCACCGCGCGCCAGGACAGACTAATGTATGCCAACTCTTTACGAGTAACTTTAAGTATATTGAATCACGAAATTCAGTAACGTTGTGCCTCTCATGTCTATGATCAGATTTATCACATAGAATAACGAAACAGAATACAAAAGAGGAAAAAGATCAAAATGTGCTCCAAACAATGTCGTGTGTAATATGAAAATCTGAATGTAACTTTTGATAAATTTGTTGCTACATCAATACAACAAAAAATTTACATTATTGTATGACGTAAATTTAATAATTAATTCAACACAGTATATTTACTTCATAAATGTAATTAAACGTAAATTTTCCATCATCGATTGTCTCACGTTACAATAATCATGAAAATCTTCTGTCTTCGCATTTTTTTCGTCGCAAAATTTTCGCGCTGTATTCCACATTAGATCCTCACTGAGTCCATTCTTTCTCTCGTTGTGCTCGCTGACGCGATAAACAATACTATCGTACATCAGAATACCAAAGATAACGTTATGATCGAAATCACGTTATATCATTCACTCCCCTTGATATTTGTTAGTGTCAATGTCAGAGCATCGTTCTACCTCCGGAATAATGTTTTATCTGATGGGACCCGCGACGCTTGTCTCATGTACAATTTGCATAATCTAATACCTCCGTCGCAGACGAAAGTGGGGAATTGATGTAGGAGTATGTATATATCGTTTTCGCGAGATGCAATTCGCATAAGTGAACGTAGTAACGGCCTCCAGTGTGTCTTCTGGTTTTCGCCGGCGACTAAATGTTTCTACATTTTAGCTACGCGAATCGATCTCAATCGCGCAAACTCACTGCCACTGGCTCATAAGCCGTATATAATCCCATATACGTTTGCGTTTCAACACATTCCGCTGGTGTTACATCGACATTCAGTAACTCTCCCAGTCACAAAGCAACGATCGTTAACACCGGATTCACAGGCGCGAAATTTACGCCGAGTCGTTCGCCGGTTAATGAACCAGAGTGATATATTCTGCTCAAAGAGGCGACGGCATCCTCGAAATTTGTCACGCCACGTGCGCCATGATTCTCCGTCACGCCGGGCGATGTATTATTACCGACATAGCGAAATGTGCGAGTATAAATTTCCGGCAGGAATATAAGCGGTAACTCTTCGGGCTCGGCGCGAATTCCCCCCCGGTCACTAGTGCGCCCCTCTTCTCATTGTGGGACAAAACGATCATGAATTATTAATTCCGCGCGAGACACCTCCGGGACGATGTGCGCGTCCACGCGAAAAACGCACGGGCGCGGCTTTAAATCGAGACGCCGCGAGAGCGAGCGCTCTTGAATTAATTAAAATTTGATGGTCGTATTAAAGAGAAACCGGTTGTAAGGTCTATCCGATTTTGTGCGAGGGTCTTCCGCGAGGACGCGGGCTTCCTTCGTTCCGTCGACTTAAAGTAGATTAACGTAGGCGAGAGAAAGAGCGCGATGCAAGTCGTCAGATCCGCGGGCTGTTCGGTGGAACAGAGCATTCGCGGATCTGCCCGCAAACCGGTTTAAATCCGCGTCTAACAGGAAACGCGCGAGATTACCCGTTTCCTCAATTTTCATTAGATTCGTCTGCCTGGGCGATGTCACGGGCGCGAGTTCGCCCCGAGTTCGAGACTCGTTCACGAGCTAGCGAACGTCGCTCAGTTGGAGTCACGATCGACTACCTGTTCCCTTCAAAGGGACGAATGTCGATGTTTGCCTGCGGTGCTGTGGCGAGAGAGTGCACATCGTTGTATATGAGTGAGACCCTTCACGACTTCCCCTTTCGCTCCTTTCCCTTGCTCTGTGTTGTAGTTTTCGATCTCGATCAGGTGCACTAAACCAATATTCCCAAACCGCCAATAATTTCAGGTTTAGATTGAACGACCACCCCTCAGTAACGGATGTCGATGTGCGTCTATACGCAGTGATAAGTAACACCGTCGTACTTCCCACACTTTTATATATTGATCATACACGTAGTTTTTCACCGTATACCGTATGCAAACGTATAGGATTACCTATCGATGTATCCGTGACTATTCACCTGATACCTGCCGGGGACTACGAGGAAGATTGTGAAAAAGCAAACCCGTCAGAAAGAACTCGGTAATTCGTTGGGTGCGAGGTGGAAGAGAAAAAATTTGTCGCCTCAGAAAACTTCCACGCTTTTTTACGACCGCGCGACTAATGGACGCATCGCACTCACGTGTCACGTGAAGACGGGGGCCTCGGGTTCCAAGATAACAAAAAAATCCAGTCAGAACGTATTTAATAGCGGGGGTTGCCGCACGAGGCTATCATGAGGCGTCTAGACGGTCGACTCTAAATCTCTCTGTCTCTCTCCCTTTCTCTCCCTATGGAGCACGATGAAGGAACGAAAAAAAGCCAACGCGCGTTACCGCACGTTAATTACTATGACTTACCGCCGGCTACGTTAATCCCCCGACTGACTTACAAACTCTCAGCCACGGCCGCGGCTAAAATTAAAATACCCGCGGCCAAGGCGAGATATGCGCGAGCATATCAGAGTTAACGAGCAAAATTTCACTGTTATAAATTCAACTTGAAACATAAAGCATAAAATTGCGCAGAAGTACCTTGCTACTATCCCCGGCCAAGAAACATACACAATGCCTACAAAAGGATGTACCCTCGCACGTCACGCTATTTCGCGTGTCGAAATTGAATACACGATCGATTGTATTCTCTTTCTTTGCGCGAGATAGTTGGATGTTTCTAATGAAACGTGTTATGGCTTCTGCGAATCAAATCAGTCGAGTAAGTTCCAATTAAGCAAATATATCGAGCTTCCTTCGTCTCGACTGTCATCTCTATCATCACCGATATCGTGTCTAAGCGGCCAAAGCGAACCCGCTACCCTCAAGACCACCGTCCAATCTCCGAAGTAACGACGCGACAAGTTGGACACTCTGTATTCGGTGTAAAGCCGCCAACAAAATCCGTTTCATATCACGCGAGTTTGCGTGCACGAACGTGTTGCAACAGGTTCGAGCCAGTCCCGCGGAAGAAGAAGCAACACCCCCTCGCAGTCCCTACGAATCTATCGTAGGGTAAGAGACCCCTCGAGAGAGAGAGAGAGAGAGCCGAGGGAAGACGTTCGAGAAATCGGAGTCGTAGCGGAACGAAAGAATCCACCACCAACACGCGGAAAACGAAGCGGGGGTGACGACGGGGTTGTGCGCGTGTATAAGCGTGGAGAGGCTGCGTGAGGTGACCAGGGTGCTGCATGCTCGAGATAGGTGGTGGGTAACCGGGGGACGATGGTGAAGGTGGGAGAAGAGCGGCAGATGGTCGGCGTGGACCCCGACGTGGGAAGCTCCGAATTCTCCGAGTTCCCACAGCCAGTGTGCACCTGCCTTCCCCACTCTGTCACCCCGTGCAGTCTCGGCGGGGCTATATATGGACGGGGTTGATCGTGCTAAGGCACCATTCGCTCACTAGCGTCTCGCTCCAAAGCAACTACCCAAAAGCATTCACAGATCCTACGCTACCACGTTCCACCGAGTTCCTATCGAACGACAGTTCGTGCCACGTGCTTCGGGTTCCGACAGTTCGAAGGAAGAAACCGGTTCAGTGTCCCGTGGTTCGAAGGAGAAGATCTCTTGGAAAGAGAGAGATAGAGAGAGAAAGAGACACACGCACAGAGCGAGAGGAAATATGGCGGCCATCACTATGAGCCACGTGTTTGAGTACGAGAACGAGCTCAACGACAATCTCTACAACCTGAAGATGTCGGGCAAGGCCGTGAGCAGCGGTAGGAGAATACGCAGCATACTGAAGCCACTGTTGCGACTCTTGAGGACGAAGCGAACGAGCAAGTACACTTCCAACAAGAGCCAGAAAGCTGTACCTCAGGTGGAAATCTTCACCGAGGAAGTCGACAACCAGAACAACGCCAACGAGGCGCTAGAGCGCAGACTATTGGCGGAGCTGCAAGACGCCGAGGAAGGAGCTGCCATCACTGTCTGCCTGGACGGGCAGATGACCGTCGTGCCGGTTGTGCCTGGTCAGTGCTACGTGCCGGTGCATTTCGCCCACACCCACGCCGGCGACTTCTACTGGACAACCCTGAGCATGGCTGACAGTGATCTGTGTTACAAGGAGCGCGCCTTCTCGCAACACCAACTGCCCGAGATGCAAGTGGCGTGAGAGAAGTCAGCGTCATCGTTGTCGAGGACTACGTTGCCGCATCTACCTCAAGGGCGAATCCGAGCTAACCTGGCCTACTCGAGGTTCGTTCGTCTTCTTTACGCGGAAACCCGATCTCAAAGTCCTCGAGATCAAGAACATCCACGATCTGCCATCAGCCACGAGATGTGGGGAAGAAACGTCGGATTTAGACATTGAGACGAGAGATTTTACATATAAACTGTGATTTTGTTTAAGCTAGATGTAAACTTTAATTTATGTATTTCGTATGTCATTAACACACAATTGACTGATCAAAACGAGAATTTTTCGCGAAAATAATCAAAATTTACTAGAGAATACCTCAGTGACCGTGTGAGAGTGAGAGAGAGAGAGAGCGAGAGAGAGAGAGAGAGAGAGAGAGAGAGAGGGAGAGAATGTGTGTATATGTATGTATGGCGAGAGAGTGAAAGAAAAAAGATATATATACACACACATATATATATTTTTTATATTACAGCGACGCGTTGTCGCATTTGTGATACTTGTAATGTTGATACTCTTTAGAAAATAACAGACTTGGTGTAATTTTGAGATTGTGATATCGGCTTTAACGTCAGCAAGTATTGCTGACACTTTCCTAATGTCTTCCTACGCAAATATTTCTAAAATAAATGTTACTTATAAGAATAAATATACCTTGTGTCAATTGATTTATCGTCCTCTTTACCTAAATCCTGAATGAATAATTGTAAGAATAGCATAGAGAAACTTTGACCTTTTCTATCTTTCTGAATAGAATTATATCCTTTTAAAATCATGAACTTATAAAAGAATTTTTGACGCAAAGAGATATGCGAAAAGAGACTCTTGCGTTAACATTCACCTGCGATTTTCGAAAGACATAAATATGTTAAAACTGCTTATTCGTATCTAAGGTTGAAAATTCCAACAACGAGCGAAGAAGATTTGACTGGGTGCTTCGTACAGAGTCGAAAGGACTCTGGACAAAACTATTTCGTGTTCGAAAAGGCGCGAGATGATGCAAGAGAGCATCTTTTGCGCGGGAAGACGATACATAGATATTGAGGACAAGGTTCCAAAGGAAAACTTGAAAGATTTCGGAAACTTACAGTTTCCTAAATTCTAATTTTGTCAATAAAAATAAAAATTATACTTGATATTACAGCGTTTTAGCGCAACGAATACAGATAAAACAGTTAATACAAATAAAACAGTTACAAAGTTTAAGTAGAGCGCATTCTCCAAATAATAAATCTTTGGAAATGGAAAAAAAGCAAAAGCGTGAACAATAGTTCGTTTAGCCGAGGATGTTGCACGGACACGGAGGGATCATACGCACACGTGTTGTCCATATGCGACGGACACATGTCAACTGTGGGTTAGTCGAGACTAAGGATGATACACGAACGGGAAGGGCGAGTTTGCGTGATTTTTTATGGGAACAGTGACAGAAGGGGTGATTCTAATCTTTCAATTGCAGAGAGAGAAAAAAAATTATAAACGACCACGACGACCAGCGATTGTTTATCGGGGCGCGATAGAATGTTTTAGAAATTGTAAAAATCACAAAATTTCTAAGCGATACGCAACAATTCTTCTTTTTTCCCCGCTTATTTCTCGCCGATAAGGTAGCGCGAACGAGTAGGTTTCTTCTCGACGTTGGGGCGAGGGTGCCACAGCCTGGAAGGCAGGCAACTCTTCGAGCAACCCTGCATCGAATGCAGACTGCACTCGAGTCGCAGGGGCAGAGGCTTTCTTTAGCACGCGCTCCCACTTGAAGGAGGTCAGACGCGACACCACCACGTTGAAAAAGAAGAGAAGTAACGCCCGAAATGTATCAATTACGCGAGTTATTTTCACCGCGTGCCGCATCGCGACATGTCGATTAAATAAATTAATTTATTATCCTCTTACTGTTGTCCCCTACCACGCTTCTCTCACCTCATTCGAACCTGTCTCACGGCTTTCCGGATCGCGTAAATTGGTCGAAACGAGTGTGTCGCAATCGTTCGATTGCCTTTTTCGTAATTACAGTGATTAAAGTGTCAGTGAAGGAATTTTTCCTCGTCCGAAATCGTCTCGTCGTCACGAGTCGCGCTCGCGTGGTGGGAACGGTCGGACTCGTTCAAGACATCGAAAGTATTCGAGAAATTCGCAAGTTTGTTTTGTGCAATGTAACGAAACGTTTCGCACATGCACGTGTTATTTCGCGCGTCACACGGCTCGTTGCATAACACAATCGTAGTCTTTGAAGATGAGCAGAAATTGTCGAAAACTATACAACCAAGTGTTGAATGTTGCAAATGCTGCTGCCACTGCAGGCAGCCAGCGGCGAAAGTGATAAATCAGGTCGACGGCGGCCACTCGCGCGCGGCGAACAATGTCTCGCTACTTTCTCAGTTGACATTTCTCGGCGCGAGGGAAAAGCACGTGTCGCGGAATCGGCTACCAACTTCCTCCTGCTGCCTGCGGCCGATAATCGCGGCCTTTGCTGTCCTCAGCCGAGTGAACGGCGCGCGGCTCGTGCCAGCGGAACGCTCGCTTATTCCCACGGCCCCGATCGACGCATTAATGCGAGCGAGCGCGCACACGCGCGCACGCACACGTGTCACGTATACCATTGCACGAGCATTGGATGACCGCGCACGCGGAACATACACACACACTCTCTCTCTCTCTCTCTCTCTCTCTCTCTCTCTCTCTCTCTCTCTCTCTCTCTCTTTTCTTCTCCCTCCCTCGAGGGCACGAGCGTGTATCTATATAATAGACTTTGTATACACTATGCTCCATCCTTCAATTCAATAACAATCGGTCGACGCACGATGGAAGTCGCAATTAAAGAACTCGGGTATGAGTCAGTCCAAAAATTTATCCGACACCCACGCGTGCAGCCCCAAAGCCGGTACTCACTCTAAATCCGTCAATAATTACGCAAAGGGAGACAACTCACGCCAGTTTCGGCTGCCAAGAGAGTCGTCAGCGAACGGACAACAGCGTGGAAAAAGAGCGCTTCCCGTTCGCTGTCGGGCCGAGAGACGAAAGGGAGAGGAATGAAATTGGCTCGTGACTAATGTCGTTCGTCACGAATGATATGGTGCTTGCGCCATCCTCGTGCCAATCCCGCGACGCCATTTGCGGAATAGGAAAAAGCAAAAGGAAGTAGAAAAGGAAGAGGAATCGTCTCTTTGGCGTGCACGACCTCTTCTAGTCGCGCGAATGCCGCAACCTCTTTGACAGCACTCGAAATAGGTGGATTGTTGCGTAATCGCGTGTACTAAAGCTTTCCAGAGATCGTAACGAGGGACCATCGTCGGCGTAATCGCCCTCAATTATCAAGGAATATCGATTCCTTCACGTCATTTCATTCACACGACCTATACACGCGTCACACCTGCAACATTCGATGTTTATTAGCATGCTACGCCGTGGTCGTGTGAAAAATTGTGTTTCGGGGGTAATTACTCGTGTTACTCGGTGCGATGCGATGCGTCATTGAACACGCAAAGCAAAAGAGAGAAAGAGAGAAAGAAGGAAAAAAGGAGAAAGACTGATGCGGATCAATTTAAAACGAGATTGCATTGGCATCAGGTGTTACCTGAGTCTCGGTTGTTTATGAGATACGCGATTTTGAAAAATCGCACTTAATCGCGCGCGTTTAGTAATTGCATTCCTACGAGCGATCTCGCGTGCGAGATCACGCGGGACGCGCAAGCGCCTTTTAATTTGCAATTACAGTCGATCGTGTTCATTACAGTCGAGTGTATTACAGTCAATTTGACCGTACCTACTGTTTCCCCTCTATCGCACCGTTCAATAAATATGAAAATTATCTTGCATTAATCGTCCCGAGAGCGTCAAGGATCATTCGATCATTCGATCTTGTACGCCCTCAGACTATATTGCAAACTCGACATTCCGTCAGATTTATCGTACAAGGTGACGCGATAAATCCGACACACATCGACCGTATCTACCCTTAGGTGTCTAGACCTGTCGGTTTTGAAAGGTACACGTATCTCTTCTCCGCGCATTCCACAGCCACGGACAAGGGTAGGGAAAGATCACGTACACGCGGATACAGATAGTCGCATTCGCTTTCATTAAGGCGGGCGCAGCGGCAACGACGCGCGTCCATCCGGGGGGACTCAATAAAAATCGATCAAGCCGTTCCTCCGGTCGACGGGGACGAGGAAAGAGGAGCGGGGCAAAAGATCGTACATACGTTCTTCCTATAATCTGACACTTTAACGAGCGTGGCGGCAGGAAAGACGGTGGCGGCTCTAGGCGCGCCGCTGCCACGTGGACGGCCCGCGCAAATCGGACGAAACTTTCTCGACCGCGGCTCCCGGGCACACACGGCTTCTCCTTCGGGCCCCGTTCTCGTGAGAACTCGAGACAGATGCGTCGCGCGTGAGAATCTCGGGCAGATGCGGACTTACGCACCTTCTCTCTCGAGTGCGCCACGCACTGTCTCGTATTTATAAGATGTACACGTCGTAGTCGGCCACGTTGGATAGGTAGGTATGGAGTATAGATATAGAGATAGGTAAGTGTGTGTGTATATATATTTATATATATACACACACACACATATACGTGCACACACGACATGCCGACGCGTATTACACGCTCGACCGTAACCCGCTTACGGTTTTCGTCTCTTCTTCCCTCCTACCATTCACTCTCTTTCTTCAGCGTGTGCGCGGAACGTGTGCGGAACGTGTGCGGAACGTGACTCTGCCGCGCGCTCGCATTGCCCTTTTTCCCGACGCGCATTTTCAAGCGGATCCCTCGCGAAATAAGAGGGAAAACCGCACGCGGTCGGAGGACGATCGAGGCATATTAGGCAAATTATATGCCAGAAAATACGGGTGCAGCCTATACTTGGGCGCGTACGGAGTTGCAATTTGGCATGGATTGAATGTCACGTAAGAATTATAGTCTGCTCGATCCGCGCTCGAGCGTTTATGGTTGCGCCACATACACAGAGAGAAGAAGAAGAGAGTGTCCTTGATACACCGATTAGCAAACTTTTTATCAATCTCTTAAATGCTCGTGCTAACGTCTATGTTCACTAGAATATCAATTGGATATTAATACCCTCGATAAAACGGCCGCTTAACCATCGGCGAATCGATAAACACCGTGACACGCCAAGACACGATAAGACGGACGATGACTTGTCACGTCAGTATAATTACCGTCGACGTCGACGTCCAAGTTTCGCGTGCCTCTTCTCGACAAGGGGACTATTCACGTCCGGCAAAGGTCCCCTCGCGCGATCACGTTCGTCTCACTCGAATGGTCGACATAATTACGTGAAATCCTCGCGAAAATCGAGCCCAACGTTCGTCGATGTTCGCCGAGATCTCGCGCGTTCCCGTCGTTCCGAAGAGAAATCGACGAGGCACCCTTGGTCGACTTTACGAACGTCCGTCACGTGACCTGCTTTCGCGCACGAGATAGTTTTTGGCACTGTTTCACGTAGACGATGCTCGAACACGTTCCAATGCGCGCTTCTCGACGAGCTCGCGACAAGAATGGACGCTCACGTGCGAATGATTATATAATAAAACACCAGCTCTGAGGAGAAACTCCAATTTTCCGTCCTCATCCCTTTACACGACGTGGAGATCGTCCCCGTGCTCGAGAGGATCCTCGCGT